TATACAACTTCCCATTTATTATCGTACCCTTTTGCTTCCCAAAAGGGAGAAGCACTGCCAGCTCAGCCCAATACTTGTTTTCTTCCAGCTACTCCCTCTAGCAGAAACAGAGGGATGAAGGGCAGGGGTGTTTGAGTGGGGGCCTCAGATCATCTCCTGCTTCCCTGTCAGCAAGACCCAAGCAGTCAGTCGTGATCAATTTAAGTAATACTGCTCCTGCTGCTCCTTCTCATGCTGACGATCATGTTTAGCTCATTCTGTATATGACCCTTCTTCACAAGTGGAATGAACCTGTTTACTTAATACTTGCATATTCTCCCCCTGAATACATCCCTGACCTGACAGAGATGTTGCTATTCACCCTGTCTCCCAAACAAGAAAGCTTTTACCAGTGGGATGACTTTCTGATGAAGCATGTGCTGGATGCATGACCTTTGTGGGTTTATACAGAAGAAGCTTCTGGATTCCTTTAGACAAACAAATCCCTTACCCAGCAGGGTTTATGCTTGGTTTGTAGTCTTTGTGCTGCTAGCCAGCTGCCGCGCTTTCTCCTATCAGCAGCAGGTAAAGTGCTTCTTGTACAGTGTGTAAGGGAGTTTGTAACGGGCTTTGGGACCCTTTGGGTAAAAGGTGGCATAGAGCAGAGCTGTCACTGACAGACAACTCTGGCTTGCCATGAGATCCAAGTTTGAGACCTGCTTGTATTTGTGGCAGCAACAAAGAGGTAACTGTTCAGTGCCTTGTTTTGCAAGAGCCTTTGGGCAGAAGGGTTTTTGCAGAAATGAAGGATTAGAGGGTGTGTGTCCATGCTGGGCTTTCAGCAAAGGCTTTGAACTGGCCTTTAGAGACAGAAATATTTTCACTTTTCCAAACTGAATTCCTTAAGGAAAAAAACATAAGTTTGGGCTGAGACTCCATCCTATATAGCCTGGGCTGGGTAAAACCTTTTGGAGGTGTTTGGCTCAGCAGAGAGAGGAGATAAATTCTGTGGGAAACAGTGGCTGTGAAGTGGGAAAGGATGAGCTTGTGGAGTGAAATTGCCCAGAAGCCAAGCACCACCACTTGCTTTGCAATGAAAAGCTTTATCATCTCTGCACAGATTACTGCAGCTAAAAATAGCCCCAGCTCAAAGTAAACAGGTTTTGAGCGTGCTCTGCCCTGCTGGCATGTCAGCCCCACACTGAGTGCCGTGCCAGCAGCCACGGTGCCTGTCCCAGTGCTGAGATGGGCTCCCCAGTGCCAAGCCAGACCCTCCGACCCTGCCCGCTGAGAGATGACCTGGAGGGGTTTGCTAATGAGTTTAGCCTCATTACAAGCTTTGGCTTGTGTTTCATTTGGTGAGGAACCTTTCTGCATGAACAACTTCTATACAAACAGAATGGGTGTGAACACCAAGGCAGTCACCCAGACACCCCGGCACCCACTGTCTCCTCACTAATCAAGAGCAAACCATGTCCTTCCTCTGACAGTAAAGAGTGGCTTGTCACTAAAGCTGCTTTTACCTGATTGTTTCTCTTCTCATAAACCTCCAAGTGCAAGCTGGTATTTCATGGCTTAAGATATCCATGCTTCCCTTAGGAGGACCAGCAGACCACTGAAATATGTTGTGTAGGGTTTTCGATCAAAGGTTTATTTTAAGTGTTTATTTTGGAGGAGGAAGTCTGGAAAAAAATCAGGTTGTCACATTTTTTCCATGCGTATCTTGTGGCATTCCACGTTTCCTTGCAATCTTGATGACATCAAATGACACGGAGAGCTCAATGCCTGGGAAATGCAGCGGGAAGCTGCTTTTACGTGAGGAGGCTTCATGCGAAATCAGCGGGTGATTGCAACGTGCTGGCAGCACAAGCCTCTAAGGGAAGCGAGGCTCAGGCTGCAACAACATTCAGGTCAGAGGCAGGTCAGATCCTTCTGAAGTGACAGCTTGTCTCCTTGGGCTTTGGAGCTTCCCAAGAGCATCCTTTGTGTTGGTGGGCTCTGTTGCACTGCAGCACTGCTCCGGGGGTCAGTTTCTTTACGTTAGCATCCTCAGGGATGCTCTCACCTCTTTTTGACACTTGCCCTGCAAGACTGCTCTGACTGTGTCCCTCCTCCAGCTAAACGCTGACACTCACCTTATGGGACAGCTTCTTGTTCTTCCTTGTGCCGTGCTCTTTTGCCCTGTGCTGCCCCAGAGCAGCAAAAGTGGCACCCACAGCACAGGCTGCAGGACCATCTCTTCCCTTGGGTGCTGCTCTCTGCAGCCCACTCTGTGGTGCAGAGCTAAGAGAAAAAGCCACAATTCTCTGCAGACTGACTGCCTCATCAACAGCAGCAGCTACCAACAGAGCAGAGCTAAACCTCCTGTTGTCCAGAGCGGCAAATGTTGTTGCCACCGGTCCCAGACCACGTAGGACAGCCCAGTATAATGCAGATGGATGCAACAGGCAGCAAAAGCCTCACCGAAGACAAATGTGTTCATGAAATAAATGCTGATTGGGAATTCAGCTGAATCAGATGGGTCAAGGCTGTAACACTATCTGTCACATGCAGCATGCCATCCCAGGCAGCTGTAACATCTTCTCACTATAGCAAAATAAGGACTGCATTGATTTCTAACCCACACCTCTGGGTGAACATCTTGTAGCTTTCGAAACAATAGGATATGAGATGGTGAACCTGAGAATGAGCTAGAAGTTCAGATGGATTTCTAGAGAATAACGTCAACTTTCATTTAATCTTAATACATTAAGATTTCAGGCAAGCTTTTTGTCATCTTAGGATTTATTGTTTTTCCCTGGGAAAGAAGAAAAAAAAGAAAAGCTCTGAAGAAAATCTCAAACTGCATTTTTCTACTTAAAAAGAGTTCCGATGGAAAACATTGACCACTCCTTGTAAGGGATGGTACTGGATGAGGAGGTCACTGGAAGGACATGAGAGGAGGATAGACTCTTTGATGGATGCTTGGGGTGCTTGTTCCCAGGACCAGACACACAAGATTGCGAGGTTTGAGTAAGACAAGACATTTTATTTTAAAAGCACATACACTGTGCTCCCATCTTTCCAAAGTGCTCTCTTGTTGCCATTGCTATATATTGCCTGCGTTGGAATGGTGCTGGCCACACGCTGCCAAGAAAATGACTGGGCTGCTAGTATACCATTTGCATCCTTACCAGATTTGGCCTTCAAGCCCCACAGTCGTGGCGTTAGTGTAAAGCTGTAGCCTGGATCCCTTTCAAACACAAGCTGGAGTAAAGAGAAACCTGCAGTTGTGGCCAAGCCAGCATAGCACTCTCCTGGAGCTGTATTGGTCCCTTGGCACAGCTTGGCAGAACCGCCTCCCTCGTGGCATCTCACGAACACAGGCAGGACGCAAGTAAGTTACTACTTACTTTGGGGTAAGCAGTAACATGTGACTCAAAAGCACTGGAAAGGATGACTTTCTGCCAAATGATACATCTCAGAATATCAAACTGAATTCCCAGGGCTGGCTTTGAAATAAAATCAGGCTGAACCAGGAGACAGAGCTACATGAGGTCAGTTTGGGGATGCACTGAGCACGGGTAGGCTTTGTTCCATCGAGGTCTGTTCCCCTTCCTCCATGTCTCGGTATTGTTATCAGAGTATTTCCTGCACTGCCTGCTGCTTTTGTTGGTGTTTTTATCTCTTGCTGCGTGCGATGGCAGGGGTGTGGGTATCTGTTATGGCAAACAGCATGTTTTCAGGCATACATAGAGACCCTGGCCGGAGGCAGTGAGGCCAGCAGAGATGGAGCAGGTCTGGCTGCACATCCAGTGCTAGGGCAAGAGGACAGGCTGGTGCTCCTCACCAGCAGTGAATGGGGCCCATCTATCATGGGAGAGCTGCAGGATGGCAGAGATGCCACTCCTGTGTGCATGGTGCTCAGCAAGACATGGGTTGGGATAGCCAAGTCCTCCTGGCTCACACTGCTCACTTTGAACACAACCTAAAATAAAAGCACATCTATGTGAAGCAGGGACTGGAGCACATCCTTGGCAAACACTCTGTGCTCTCCAATTGAATGATGCCACTTCTCCCTCTTACAAGGCTGAAGATCCCAGTGTCCTTACAGCAGAGACAGAGCAAGTCTTTCCTTCCCTCAAGTAAAGCAATCAACACTATCGAGCCCTGTTCCAGCGCGTGTATTCAGGCAGCAGTATGCACACCCTACGTGCTTGTACACCTTCCCACCACACTGGTGGGGCTGGGCTGGGAGGACAGAGACCCAGCACTGCAACCAGCTTGTTCTTTTGGGTTCAGCCACCTGGTGGGGTGTCCAAGGCTGATGTGACACAGGGAGGTGACACCACCATTCCTGAGCCCCTGTGGTGCCAAGAACAGCGAAAACTTCTCTTCTGCATTGGCCCTGAGCTCACTGAGAGCTCCCATGCTGTGAGCAGGGCAGACACAAAGGCATATGCTTGATCTGCAGTACTGACTGCCTTAAACACCTTCCTGGGACCTGTTACCAGCTCAGCATTTCACCCCCAAATAAGGGTGGCACCCAGGGACAGATGAGCTTGGCTTTTACCCCATAGGAGTCAGTGGAGCAAAAGGAGCTCTAAAAAGATACAAAGCTAGTTTTTTCTTGGGAGGCACCTTCCCAGTGCTATACCTGGTAAAATAGCCCAGGGCTGCATGGGGTGGGATGGTGGTGCCTTTGGCCAGGCCCTGATGGGAACAGTGAACAGTGGGATGTAGTGGGGACACATATCTGAGTGATGCACCAGAGAAGGCTGTGGAAGCAGCGGGCAGGAGGAAGCACCCTGCAGCAAAAGCCTCAGCACCCAGCACTGAAGGAAGGATGTTTGGGCACACGCAGCTGCCAGGAGATGGGGTTACAAAGCGAAGCTAAACAAAGATAGCTGCGAAGAGGAAACAGATCCCTCCTGCCGGTGTAAGGTAGGAGCCGAGCGGTAGCTGCTTGACATCATCAGAATGAGCATTGGATTACAGCAGGCAGGGACTGACTCGGGAGCGGAGAAAAACACGCCCCTTGGCCCCAGAAGTGCAACTTCATTTAGCAGCTCCCAGTAGAAGGAAACTGCAAGTCTGAAACTGGCTGTGACTCCCTCAGCCAGCTTGGCTGCTCGCCTCGGTGGGCAGGGACACGGGGAGGGTGAGATCCAGCCTCCGGCTCTTCCTCAGCAGCGGGGCCACGTAACTTGGGATTCGAGAAGCAGCGGGAGCCGGGTGGCTGTAAGTAGGGCTGTGTATGCTGCTGAGGGCACATGGGGTGGCGATGGGCTGGGGTGGTTGGTGGCCAGCAGACCTGTTGGGCAGCACAGCAAAGGGCTGCTCTCCTGCCGCCCTAACGTGAGAGCTGGAGCCTCGTTACAATGGGGGAATTTGTTTCGTTAACTTTCACCATGCCGGCTGTGAATAGTGAGGTTTTTGCTGCCCACAGACCATGGGCTGAAAAACTAAGCTGCGTCCTGGTTTCTCTGTGGTTGGGGGAAGCGGTTTGTAGGCTGATGGCAGGGAGGTGGCTGCTGTTTCACTTGGGAAATCGTGCAGTTCAGGACTTGCTGCGAGGGGGTAGCAGGGAGAGCAGGCTTGGCAGTTGGAAAGCACAAAGGACCGCGTGGATCAGTGACCCCCGTGGGGATTTCTGGCCTCATTTCTGACTTGTGTCCGTTTATTCTGAGCAACTCCTGGAGGGAATCCCTTAGAGCGCCGGGGTGGCTCTGTGCTTGCCGGGGAGTAGATGCCAGCCTATGGGACAGGCACCCAGCATGCTGGCGGCGTGGGGCAGTGGTGTGAATCCATCCGTATGGCTTCGGGAGCTGCAGGGCTCCCCGTCGAACTGCAGGCACAAGTAGGAGCAGCAGCAGGAGCAAGCTCGGAGACTCGCTGGCATCCAGCTTTCCAAGCAAATGTTTTAAAAGGCAAAGACTTGGGATAAAAAAAGAACTGCTGTGTGGTGGTATTCTCAGGAGGCTTTGCAAATTCCTCCACCTCGGAGCTGGTGCCTTTCTCTCCTTTCTCTGGATTCCCCATAGCAGCTGGTAGCGAGCCGCAGTGGTGAGCTTTCACATGCATGTAATGCCTTGGCCCCAAAGGGGTGTTCGGGAAACGTTTCTTTTTGCCTGGATGGGGTAAATGGTTCTGTAGAACAAGAGCCAAGTATAGCTGTGAACCCAGAAGCAATGCCCTGGGTGGCTGGGCCAGTGGCTCAGACACAGAGGGGGACACACTGGGTCAAATGCAGCAGGGATGCTGCAGCAGCACAAGGGTGAGAGGAGACTCGTGGAGAAGGGATGGCTTGACCGGGTGGCAGAGACCCTCAGACCTGGGCTGCTTGTTGGCAGTGAGGCCAATGTGTTTGGCTTGGGAGCAGGCCTTGGCTTTGGAGACTTTTGGCTGGAAAGGGCCACAGTGCTAATGCACAGCCACCCAACTGAGAAACTGTCAGGTTTCTGCTCTCGTGAGGGATGGTATTTGGTAAAGAAGGATGCATGGAGAGATCTTCAGTGGCTGCATTCATCTATGGCATAGATGCAGGTTAAACGGCCAGTTGCAAACTTGGATGCACCAGTAGTGCTTAGCATACCTCAAGGACAGAACAGGGCATTGAGTCCTGCAGACATTGTTCCACATGGATGTACGAGTGCCCCATGCTATCATTTTTAGGGATACTTTCCCGAGAGTGCAGACTGATTCCTCAGAGAATTGGAGACCATTAAACATAGCACATAGGCTCCCAGTGTAGGCAGCTTGATCATGAAGAGATGAAAACCCAGGAGTGTTCATAGCCATGCATCTTCCAACCACTGGCATTTCTGTACCCAATGGCTGACTCTGAGGCTCTGCACAGGCACAGAGCGATCTACAACGTGGAGTTTTGCTTTTTACCTTTATCCTCTTTTTTTTCCAAAAAGAAGTAAATCTACTTTTGAGCCCACTCAGGGAATACCCACAGGCACACACAACCCTGCTGCCCAAAATAGCTATGGAAAACAAGGTGCTAACAATTCCTGATCTCCCACATTTCAGAGCCTGCAGCATACTGCTGTGCATTAAACCTTCCAGCCTGTCTGGGCAACCAATACCAGCATTGTTCCTACTTTAACGTGGGCTACACACAAAGAAGATGATTTTCCTGGTCTCATATGGGTCTGTGGCAGAATCAGAGAGGAATCTACAGTTCCATAAGGAGCGGTACAAGCTTCCACAGAGCTTCTTGTTTGCCGTTTTATGCCACCACATTTGGGTCTCTCCCATTTTCACATTCCAATTGTCTCTCCACACTCTCAAGGGTTCCCTTAGCATCACCAAAGCTGTATATATGGACTGATCCAGAAAACACCTTTTCCATTTCCATACCTATTTTAGAGATAATGAAAGGGGGGAAAACCCCATACTTCTAGTTGTCTCTAGCCCACCACTAGGAAAAACCAAGCCATAAAGGGAGCTGCTCCCAGAGCTTCCCAGCACCAGCCAGGGAGAAGGGAGCGTTCAGCTCTTGGATGGACTTTGTCACAACAGCAGCTGGAGAAGCCAAGACATCGCAGCAGGACTCAGCTGGCACACGTAGCATGAGCAGGAAAACCAGCAGTTGGCCTATGAGCCACCTATTCCCCTGTCAGAACCCTCATTCCCTTCAAGCCTGCGGTGATACATACTTTACATACCCCTTTCTGGTTCACATGGCAAGGTCCCAAATGCTTCCTTCCCAGCACAGCCCCGGTGCTCTCTGCACAGCATCTCCACCCCAGCTTTCATGCAGGCACATTGCCAGTCAAGCCGTTGCCTCAAGAACTCCCCAGTGAGCACCACAATGGCAGCTTCTGTTGATACTTGCAATGATGTAATGAGCCAAACATATCCCCACCGGAGCGTCATTGACTTTGCTGGAATTACTGCTTCCTCTAAGTGCAATTCATCTGCGGTGCTCCTTGCCTCGAGATACTGAAACTAAGAGCTCAGAAGGCAGTTTGATGGATATCAAGCAGTTATCTTGGTAACAGAACAATCCTGGATATGATTAAGAGGTTATTGCTTTTTAAGGATTATGAAACCTCCTGGTTCAGAGTAACCAGTGACTTATGAAAAACATTCCACTATAATTACAAGGTTTTTTGTACCTCTGAGGCCAAGGATGCTGGGAACAAGGCACCAAATGAGGCAGCCTTAGTCTGCTGTGAGAGAACAGGGCTCCTGTTCTGGTCAGTGATGGCTCCAGCCTCTTGTTTACCCAGGAGTCAAGAGATGAGACTCTGCCATCACCTTGCTTGAAAACAGAAAGGATTTCCTCTCTGGATCAAAAGCAGCACCAGAGCAGCTGTTGTGTAAAATAATGGTGAATTCTGCCAAGAAGTATTCTGGAGGGGTTTTCTGTGAACATATATTCATTGTGAAGTCATGCTAAATTAATTTTGAAGCCATGCTGAGAGCATTGAGTTTGTTTGGGTGTTTGTCCCTTTTAGGTAACTGTGATACCATGGGGTAGGGATGCACCGCCACCCAATGAACATTTCCACAGGGATCTCAAAGCAACCCATGCTACCTTGATGGATTACAGGACTAGATAAAGAACACTTTACAAGATTTCCTTAACAAGTTGCTTTAGCCCATCCTTAGTCACACTGCATGGCTTAATCCACCACCCTTATATCCCTGAATTCTGTGTGGGATATGGCCTGGCCTTTGCACAGTGGGGCCTTCAGAGCTCTGCCCATTGCCCCAGGACTGCACGAGCCAGAAGAGGTTGAACTTTTAGGGATAGAGCAAGGGGCACAGCTTCAGATTTGATGATTCCAAATCCCCAAGCAAAGGCTGTGGGAAGAAACGTCTGGTCAGAGCCAGGGCTGTAGGGCTGGAAAGCCAATACCAGTTCCTGAAGAATTTCTGTCTCCAAAACTCAGCTCTTCTTTTGAAAGACAGAGAAAATTGGGGTTTCCTCCCACATCCCATCAGGAACAGGGCTGCTCAGTGATAACTTCTACTTCAGAGCATCATTGCTCCAATTTGCCTCAAGCCTCTCTTGGCAGAGGGCCACGTGTTTGGAGATATTTTGCAACACATCTGAAGCGCTGAAGGTTTAACTGTTTGGGCTGCAGAACACAGGAGCCAGAGCAAGGAAGGAAGGCAAAGGAAGAAAATAAAGACTCATGGATTTCCAAGGTTGCCTTGCTTTCTTCCTTCCTGCTTTTGTTTGTTTGCTGGGTGCCCCAGAGGGGTGATGTATATGCCCAGTGTTGTGAGAATACTGTTTCTTTTCCGGTGCAGTGTTTTCCAGTAAGCACCTCACTGTAAATGGGGTAAGCACTAACAAAAGTGTATTGTTAAATCCCTGTGCCTTTGTTTGGCTCCTGTCAGGATCATAATTAGTGTTTTCCACTTCTGTAAACCTGTCATCTGCAGCTCTGAAAGTGCTTTACAAATATCTGAAGCATCTAGCAAGGGGGCAAGTATTAATAGCTCCATTTAACAGATGGGCAAACAGAAAGCAGCAAGTGCCCTGTCCTTGAAGCAGGGCCAGAGCCAGCAAGTAGTCAGCTCCGTAACTTGGGAGTTTAAAAAGTGGGTCATAAAAACAAAGGCTGTAGATCTGTCATGCGTAGGAAAATGATGGGGAATAGTTCCAGTCAGAGCAGCACTCAACCCAGATGGACCAGACATGAATTGCTGGGTGAGCTACTGCTTACATGGTTAAATGGTTTATCTCTTGCTTTCTGTTCTGCTAATATTTGTCCCTGGGATAAAGTGAAAAAAGCACAGTCCATGATGTTCCAAAAAGGCTGAAAGCTGAAACAGCTGCTAAAATAAGCAAGTGTCTTGTTGGCTGGGCTCTGCAGGTCAGGAGATTGCAATGCACCCACAGATGTTAAGGCCACAGAGGAAATGGCTTTGAGTGGGGCTTGGGGACAACAGGAGAAGGCACAGCTGTGCACAAACAGCAGAGAAACCTGAGGACCCAGCAAGGCAACCAAAAGCACCAGATCAAACTTCCCCTTTTGCCTCAGAGCCTGATCTGGAAGTTTCACTTCTTTAAAGGGCAGTGGAGCTGCAAACCAACATTCATTTATACTCTCAAGGCAGCCCTAGGGTCCCTCCATGGTGCAGGTAAGGAGACACAAGTTGCTGCAGTTCTCCCCAGCACACCTACAGGAGGTCAACAAAAGCAGAAGCAAAACCAAAGAGAACTTCTCTGTGAAACCAGGCCTGGCTGCACTACCCTTGCTTTCAGATACAACAGGCCACATCTTTATTAGCACAAACCCTCCTGAGAAGGGGCCATACAACCACCACCATCTGTAGCCCTTCAGTCAGTGTCTCCATGCTCACCAAGACAGGCTCAGACTGAGCTCTGTCAAACCCCACGTCCCCTTTGCTGTCCTAGTCACGGGCAGTGGGAAAAGCAGCTGAGCTTTATGCTTCTCAACAAAAGCACAGATAATGTTTTCTTATGCTTATTTTCTTTTCCTTCCCCAGAAGTTGCTGCATCCTGCGTATGAAACTCATTTGAAGTCATGTCCAGAAGGAAAGTCAACTAAATCAGGTAGGAATTCACACTATGGAATGATAGAATTTGTATTCACAGGGAGATATTACATAAACAGGAACGGGGTTATTTTCCTTCTTGTTTCATACAGTCATTTGACCTCCTTCTGTACTCTCAATTCCTAGATGCTAGAAAGCTGTTACAAGGGGGGAAAAATATGAACAATTCTGCCATAATGACTTTCCTGCTGTATATTCCACACTTACAGCCATGTACTTGTCCCAAGCCCTGTTCCAACATTGACTCTACAGGCAGTCCCTGGTGCAAGCAGTGCTGCACAGCCTCTCCCCTGCCAGCAATAGGGATGTGGTGTGTGAATCCTGCCTGCATGTTTCACCTGAGAATGGCTTTTCCCCGTGTGAATAACCATGTAAGTGAGGTTTTCCTGTGCATATAGAGCCAGCCCAGGCAGATCCAGGGAGCCCCCAAAGCTGGACCTTCTGTGGCGCTTCTGTAAGTGGCAGATCCACCAGCTCATGGTCCTTTCCATGGTCTCACTGCCATGGCCCCTGCACTGAGAGCATCTCTTCAGCCCTCAGATCATTTCTCTGCTTTCTCTTATTCCTGCACCAAGTATTCCCTTTTTTGGAGCTGCCACAGTCGTATTGTTTGCAGATGTGGCCATACAGGATCTCAGGACTCTTTGGGGCATGTAGACATTCCTCCTACAGGTCTCTCAGGGCAATTCATCCCTTGTATCCAGCACCTTTCCCATGCATGCTAGGGAGCCCGTGTTCTTCTACACCCAGGCTTCATTTCAGTGGACCATAAAATAGTTGACAGTTCATTTCCTTAGGACCCTTTTCTGACAGTATAACTTGCAATGATCACTGAGCATCCCCAGTGTAATCTTACAGGCATGTCTCGAGCACCTCTTCAATTCGTGTCTAAATGTCACATCCCTGGTAACTTCTGTAGACAGATTTACCCTGCCTGCAGAGAGGATCAGAAGCTGCTGTCACCTGAACTAGATGTACAAAAACTCTCCATCCATCACAGAAATACTCAGAGGAGGGGGTGTGCAGGCCAGCAGCGCTTTCTTTGCCCAGGTAGGGCTCCCAGCCAGGTAGCACAGCCAAAGAGACTCCAGATTTCAGTGGGTAACAACCAAAAGGGCTTAGCTCAGCCACCTCTCACTGCCAGCTGTTTTTAACTCCTACACTTTTCTATCATACATAAAGCACCAATAGCACCAATCCCCCATCCAATCCTTCTCACAGCTCCCAAAGACAGGTTTTACCCCTATTCCCCCTTCCCAGCCCCTGGGGTGGGAGTCCTGCTGGTGGCTTTCTTCTGTGCAGTGGGGTGTGTGAGCAGGGCAGGCAACTACAGGGAGCAGAGCTGAGCCTGGTTTTGCTAATCAGCCTCATTCCACACTGATGCTCTTAAGAGTTGCCCTGGTTATTTTTAGGCACTGCTGGGAGCTGCCAGGGCTCTCACACCTCATTCAGCCCCTTACACCACACAGAGGCAGAGGGACCCTTTGGATGCTGGATGTGAGTTCCTATGAGATGGTGCAAGCCTGAATGAGGAAGGGCTAAGGCAGGTGGCTCTCAGCTTCACGCACTCTGTGCTGAGCAGAGCCCCCCCAACTAGCAGCAGCCAAAACTGCATAGTTACAGCCTGCACAACACCTCCTCCAAGCTAAGCTCCCTCCGCAGCTATGTGAGCACTGCTTTCACACAGCAGCAGAGCTCCACACCTCCAATTACAAACAGAAGCTGGACAAAACTGCTCTTTCTCCTGCTAGACATAAAGACACAGCCTCTCTTACCTCTGTCCTTGTAGAAAGTTCTTCACTCAGAAACAGCAATTCCATCAAGACCTGCTATCATTTCACCTTCCTTTTATACTGCCAAGGGCAGCTCTGCTAGAAAATACCCCCAGCTGCATCTCCTCTGCAATTACTTGATTTCTTGTTGCCCAGGGAAGCCTGGAAGGTGCTAGGGATAAAGCATCCCTGGGCCTGGGAGTTAAAGGAGGGCTTGAGTAGGTGATGTTCACAGTGTGTTGGTGTGATCAGAAAAGCTATGGGACCACCAGGGAGTTTCAAGGCTTGAAATGAAATCCACCGGGCCTTTTCTTCCTGAATTATTCTGGGGAAGGCAGGGAACCCAAGTGTGAAGGGGATCCTCTTTGCAAAGGAATCCATCCCATGGCCTGGCTGTGATGAGGTGTCTGCAGATCACAACCAGGGACAATACATGAGTCTTCCTGGAACATGCCTGCAACAGCAGCTGTGGGGCTTTTGCAGCTGAAGGGTTTAAAGTGACTGGTCTGTGGTTTGTCTGCTTTGTAAGTTCAGGCATCAGCAGATCCTCCCTCCACACAGTTGTTTTGTTCATGTAAAAAAACCCTGACAAATAAAGGCAGTTAAATAAGAAGTTGGGATAAAATAAAACTAATGGAGAAGGGACATAGCCTCATACTCCTTACAGCTTTGAAAGGGACTCTGCAGGGGACCAGAGGGTGTTGGCTCATAAGGTGACGGGTTCTTGTGGCCATGCTGGGCGACCACAAGGGGTCTGGCTGGCTGCTGTCTGCTGGGCACATAACACCGTGTCCAGCCAGTGCGAGCCTGAGGGGGTGATAAACGGGGAGCAGAAAGGTGCCAGTTTTCTGTGTCCTGAGCGTGCCTTATCCCACTGTGCCACCCCATCCCTCGGAGGGATGTGTGTCCTTCGGAAGGGGGAGCGGAATGGAGTGCCCTGATTTATTAGCACCTCAGAGCTGTGGGATGTGAAAAACAAGCTCGACCTGGGAGCAAAACAAAAATACAACTGCTGTCACGGCAACTGTCTGCAGATGCATGAAGAGACCAATTATTTCCATTAATCAACTTACTGAGAAGCTGCAGAAGAGGCTTAAGCTGCAGCTGAGGCTCGGTGCTGAGGGGAGGGAGGAGCAGAGAGCTCCATCGCACCCTGGTTGCCAAGGCAAACCATGATTCCTCCTGTGGCAGAGGATTATTGGAGCAGATGCTCAGCACCCGTGCCCCATGCCCTGCCTGCTCCAGGCATGGGGCTGCATGCAGGCAGGGCTGCATGGTACTGGGCTGCCATCCTGGTGAACAGATGAATGGATGGGCAGACAGCTCCCTCCTACACATCCTGACACTAACAGGATGCTGGTGGTGCTGAGCAATCCCCTCCACCTCCCCTATTCCTCCCCAGGCCTTCCCCTCTCCCCTGGGGACCGCAGCAGCACACGCAAGGGCTCACCCTACCCCAGTGCAAAGGGTCAGCCGTGATCTTGAAATCCGGCTGGAGCATCTTACATCAGCCTGGAGCCGGAGGATGTGGGGCAGCAAGAGGTGCCTTGGGACAGCAGAAACACTGCAGCGAGGGTCCCTGGGGATGTGCTAAAGACCAGGAGGGAGGGGAGGATGTTTGAGGCCTTGGTAAAGCTAAATGCAAGGTTTGTGAACTTGTAGAGGGGTCAGCCTAAGCCTAATCTTAAACCTGAGCTAAGCAATTAGCTACCAGTTGTGCAGGCATTAAGCGATTTATACTGTAAAAGCAGGGATCTGTTTATGGATACAGAGCCTCAGTCCCACTGGTGTATCTGCTCTCCTCCTCTATGAATTACAATTTTCCACTAAGTCTTAGAGAGCCCTGGAAGCTCGGAACCTCCAAAACCACTGCTGTGGCTGGAGATGCTGTGATGTCTGCACTGGCTGAATTAACTGTATTTAGCAGAATAGCCAGAGGGTGCAGAGTTATTACAAGGAATCCCACAGCGAAAACCTTCCAAAAATGCCACATGCCTTACCCAAGCTTGACATCTCTTCACCACTGGAGTGCGGTGAGGCTTTTCCATGCTATTCTCACTTGGAAAGAAGTTGCTCAGCACATGAAATGGACACACATGCCCTGGTAGGAGATCAGGCTGCTGCCGTGGTCCTGCCTGTTTCCTCACCCAGCCGGGAAGCTGGGGCACAGCAATTCCAGCCAACAAGACCCATTCCCACCATATTTGGGAGAACACAGGCCCAGAAGGGAAGCTCCATGCCTGGTGCAGACCCTGTCACTTGTTGCTTATGTAGCCACTACCAGACCGAGCTCCCAACAGAACAACTCCATCTTCAGCTTCTGGTGTGGATCTAAGCTCTAGTGCATGGGGGTCACAAGCAATAGTGAGGCCTTTAAGGCATGAGCACAGGTCTAAAAATACTCTGTAACCCTGATAACACCATTTCAGAGCCCTCCTCCTTTGATGTGCAACCGCTCGGGCATGTTCCCAGACAAGACCCAGTGGAAAATCAGCTGAAATTCCAGCTGGAAGTTGTCAGAGCGTTGGTGGAAACCCCCTGACCTCAAGTGCTGGCTTCAGCCCTGGGGGATTTTTTCCCCTCCTCACTGGATGTGACTCTCCCAGCAGGAAACCTCGCGGCAGAGCCACAGGGAGCACAGAAATCCCGGTGCTCCCATCTCTGTGCTCTACCAGGCCCCCCTCTGCAGTAAACCAGCTTACACTGTAAATATTTCAAACGCCCAGCAGGGCTGCTGAGTGTGTTTTGCTGTTGTTATGGATCCGGCCCCAGCAGGAGAGGGCTAATAATAGTCACTGTACCCTGGAATGAAAGGGCAAGGGGCACTGCACAATGTGGAGAGCTTGAAGGCAGACTGTACGGCTTCATGCCTTGGTCCCTGCAGGCTGGCAGTGAAGGAGAGAGAAGTGGGATGCGATGCATGAGCAAAAGAGGGGGTCACATCACTGTTTAGTGGCAGAACTTTGACATTTAACCCAAGGAACACAGCAAGGATTAGCTTGGATTTGTGTCTTTATGACTGCAGAAGTCTGGGGGGCAAAGAACAGTGTTAGATCCTGTGGTGTGACACGAAGAAAATGGGAAAGCATGTCCCTGAGTAGGCAGTGGGGCAGAGGGGCCAAGAAGGGCAATAACATCCTGGCCTGTATCGGCACCAGTGTGGCAGGACTGGGGCAGTGATTGTCCCCCTGCACTGAGCACTGGTGAGGCTGCACCTGGAATCCTGTGTTCAGTTCTGGGCCCCTCACTACAGGAGAGACCTTGAGGGGCTGGAGAAGGGCAATGGAGCTGGTGCAGGGCCTGGAGCACAAGTGTGATGGGGAAGGGCTGAGGGACCTGGGGTCAGTCTGGAGAAGAGAAGGCTCAGGGGGACCTGATCGCTGCCTGACAGGAGGGGCTGGGCTCTGCTCCCAAGGAACAAGGGATGGGACAAGAGGAACCGGCCTCAAGCTGCACCGGGGCAGGTTTAGATGGAGCTGAGGAACAATTCCTGCCCCAGAGGGTGCTCAGGCACTGCACAGGCTGCCCAAGGGCAGGGCTGCAGTCACTGGCCATGGAGGGGTTCAAAAGCTGTGTAGGTGAGGTCTCAGTGCCATGGGTAGTGGTGGCCTTGGCAGTGCTGGGGCAGAGGTTGGACTGGATGAGCTCAAAGCTCTGCTCCATCCCGGCTGATCCTGCGATTCGGTACTTACAGGATTCCATGGCTCCATGACCTCCAGCAGACCCCGCTGCGGTTGCTCCCAATGGCCTCTGGCACGGGGCAGGCGCAGGGCTGCAGCCGGCAGCAGCACCCAGGATGTGTCTGTGGGGCTCCTGCCCCGGGATGAGGGTGCCCTCGGGATCTGCAATGGGCAAGGGGCAGGTCCCCTCCTTAGGTGGGTGTCCCAGTGGAGCAGCAGCCCCTGCTCAGCCCCCAGGGGCAGGGAGGCCTCTAAAAGAAGGCAGGGAGGTGACTCAGGCTTAGTTAAGCCTTGAGCCATTGCTGCATTTAACCTTGGCATCTTCCTCACAGCAGCCCAGGTGGCTGTATCACAAACGTCTGAGCAGGGGATTAACCTGCCCTATGCCCAAACGTGTGAGAGATGCCACGTGCAGATGGACAAGGCTTCCTCTCACGTAGAGACCCCTTGCAGTGACTGCAAAGGTGAGTCAGGTAAAGAGGAAAGCAAGAGGTAAGTGAGAGCAGAAAGCAGCAAAGCAGGCGGTGGAGGGGGAGCTGGATGGATTCAGCACAGCCTGCAGATAGCCACCATCGATACAGAGTCCAAAAATAGCCCTTCCTAGCCATAAAAAGCTTACAGTTTAACCTAGACAAGGGACAGATGTAGCATCGTGCAGAGGGTTTCCTTGAAACTGGAGTCTGGGGCTGGGTGTGACTGTAACATCCATCCGATCCCCTGGAGTCAGGCCCTGGCTGCTGGCTTGGGTCACAGGGCTTGTGTTTGCTCTGCAGGCGCTCAGCCCTGCGCTGAGTTTGATGTGTCCATGGTGCTTCCAGGTCACTTGCATTGTGCCAGGCCACTCTTGTATTGTTTGCAGTAACTTTGCTTGTAGTGCCCGGGATGCGTGCTGTGGAGAAGCAGGCAGGGTGGGAAACGGGAATTAACCGCAGGCTTCTCAGTGGGTCTGAGAGGGGCACAGGTTATTTCAGGGACATCTGGGGATGTCTGGTGGCTGTGGCAGCTTGCAAGGGGCTTCCTTGCTTGTGGCCAGCTGCCCTTGACAGGCAGCACCGTGTTCCCATGGCGCAGGGGGCACAGCCTGCCTCCAAGCAGCACAGAAAAGCTTTCTGAGGAATGTGCAGCAGGTCCCGGCCCCGTGCCAATGGCCTTTGTCACCATGCCATGCATCCCCTGCCCCGTCCCCGCCGGCTGGCACACCGCACCAAGGGCACAGGGACTGTTTCTGTTGCTGTCAACAGCAAGGAGGAAAGGGAGGCAGGAAATGACCCTCTGGGGACAAGTTGAATCATCTCTTTGAAGTGCCCTGGAAACCTTTGTGCAATGTGTTTGTGTGCTTGCCCGCTTATTCTCACAATGCCTGGCAAGAGCCGGCACATCATTCCCTCCTGCTGGCCCAAAGGAGCATGAAAATCAAAGGTGGGGAGCCACTGGGTGATGCACCCCACTCTGCAGCCCCTGCCACCACTAAATGACGGCCCATGGTGACACAGTTTCAGGTCTACGTGGGCAAGAGAGAAGGTGGTTTCTTTCTTGTCCCTGGCAGATGTTAAAAGATGTTTCCACTGACTAAAACCCCACTGAACTGTGCTTCACTTGCCTGGAAATGTGGAAATGCTCTGTGCAAAATGAGGCTTTTCTATCACAAATTGAGGCCGCCGCTCCCATCACCTCCTCAGTCCAACAGCTTCCTGGAAGCAGAGGCTGGAGTGTCTCTGCCAGCAGAAGGGGATGTGACTCAAAGGCTTTTGAGAGCTGCCACCTTGTGAGCTTTGCTCGCCCCTCTTCACCTCTTTCCATGGAGAATCAAAGGCAGGAACCTTCCCAGCCATAGGAATAAGTAAATCACACACGCCATCTCCTGGCCAACGAGTTTGGAACCCAAACCTGCCCGAGTAGGACCTGCTTCTGCCCGCTTGGGTGCTATTTTTTATCTCCATCCCATCCTTTTTCCATGTGATGGGGCATTTAGTCACTTGACACAATGCTCCTGCAGCCGAGCACATCTGCTGTTGGCAGGCACATCAAGGGACACTGGGAAAATGCTGTATCCCGGGGGCTGGTCAGCTCCTGTATCCCAGTTTGTGGTGTCTATCCTATGAACTAGGTGGTCCAGCCCTCAGAACAGAGCATATCGGCTCTGGATTGACCTTAAGGATGTGGAGATGGATCCAGGCTTTTGTGGACAGCTCTTAGGGAAGCCTTCCAAGTCCGTATGACACCTCTCTAGCAGCTACAGAAGGTCTGGGCTCCAGTGAGCTGTGTGGACTTGTCTGGGCATGATGGAAAAGGTGCTTTGCTCACTGAGATCAGTGAGCCTGCTGCATCCAGAGTGAACACCTCATGCTGGAAGGGCACAGCTGGGAAGGAAGGAGGGAAGATGAGGAACAACAACAGCTGGGATCTCTTCCTGGGCCAAAGGATGCAGTTTTTACCCATGTAACAGGGGCTAGATGGATGCCAAGCCCTGGGAGGAGATTTGCTGCATTTGGTGAAGCAGGTTCCGCTGGGAGGTCTGGGGGCACCAAGCCCCACGTCCCACCAATGAACTGCTGCCAGGTGCTCCAAGAGAGTAGTTCCTTGGGCTATGGAAATATCACACTGGGTTTATGCAGTTTTGAGGTTACTGCACCCTGCTCAGTCTCAGGAATGGGGGGAATTGAACCTCTTTTATCCTGGCTATTGCATCTTCACCAGCATCTTCTTTCTACTGCCATAACATTGGAGATTATAGAGTGAGGAGTGGGATTCTTGCCCAGGCTCATGGTCTGCCAGCGGATTTCCCTGGTAGGAAGATCAATATTAAACAGGATTTGTACAGGAGACTGAGCAAGTTTCTCAGTGGGTCATTAACCCCAAGACACAAAAGCAAGTCAGTGACAAGAAGTTGAGTTTTTTTCATTCCACACAAGCATTTCTAACTGGGACCTCCTTCAAGTATTGACAACATCAGCAGGGCTAAAGGCATTTTTTACAGTGAATAGATAAGATTGAGATTAATCTCTTACTTCCATGTAGAAAAACAAGCTGAGTAAACAGCAGCAGGAACCAAGAGCCTCAGGTCGCCAGTGCAGAGGCAGTGTGTGCTCACTAGCTCTGTGCCTGGAGCCAGGCAGCCTGTAACACATTCCCAAGCTGCTGAGGCCCCTGGGCTCTGCGTGCTGGCAAGTTAAACCACCAGCTAAAGTGAAAACCCAACAACTTAAGGACAACTAAGAGCTGGCTCGCAGCAGAGCTCGCGTGTGACAAGTGGCCACTCTGAGCCTTTCTTTGTGCTCTGTGCTTGGCACAGACGCAAGGCTGGAGTGAAGGGATCCAAACATCTCACAGAAGGGCTGATTTTCACATGTTAAAGTGCTTATCTGAAAGCACTACAGCCCAGCACTTTCTCAGTGACATCCAACGACCAGTGGAGGCCAGTACTGATCCAAAGCCCTGTACTGAGAAAATAGTCCCCTGCTCTCCAAGCTTTCCACTGCGTAGTCATTAGAGCCCTGACCATTTCCCATTACAAATTCAGGCTGGATCCTCACCCCATCCCCCGATGCAGTAAGCCAAATCTGGCCTCTGCTCAAAGATCCCGTGGCATTTTGAGGAGAAAGGAGGGCTTTTTCTGCAATGGTTTTGCCGTAGGAAAAAGCTGCTAGCCAGTGACCTTGCAGCTCTTAACGAAGGCCAGGAACTCAAAAGGAGAGGCAAATGCCTTGTCTGCCTTGCTTTGCAATGGGAAGGTAGAACAAGGGTCATTAAAGGCAGCTTGGACAGATCCTTCTTGCCTATCTGCCCTCACCTGACACGGTGTGTCACCCAGCGCCATGGGTCACCCCACACGCTGCCCCACGTGATGGCTTTGATATCTGAGATTTTGGTAGCTGCTGTTAGAGGAACCGGCGCAGAGTTACAGGGACTATTTTTTCATGCCAGTAACTTAACTCCACAGAGTAACCTAACCTGGAGGGAGCCATGAGTTGAGGCTTGCTGAGCATCCTTGACCTCACAGCTGTGTTTTCTCCGCAGCAATGCAATGGAGGTAGAGTCCAGCATGTACACTGACTTCATTTCCTGCGATCGGGCCGGTCGGAGGAACGCTGTCCACGACATCCACCAAGATGCAACCACCGTCAGCGTGCGCAAGCTGACCGAGGACCTCGGTGACCTCGCCGTTGAAGGAGCAGGTGAGCTGCTGCAGATACCAGTAAACCCAGCTCCCAGCACACAGGCTGGAAGGGCAAGGCATGAAATGGTAGCGCACCTGAATAGTGCTGTCACTGGGAGCATTAAACAGATGCTCAAGAGGAACATCCCATTCCTCGCTGCATCAGTGCCTTCATGCTTGCTGGGAGACTCACTGTGCTAAGGATAAACGGGATGGTCCCAGGGTTCCTGGTGCATGAGCACTGCACACTCCAGCCAAGGCCCTTTGCTTGGTTGGTTTGTAGAGGCACTGATGCTTAAACAAGACAGGGACTGAGCAAGAGCCTTCCCAGGACAAATTGCACATCAGGTATATAAAAGGCTTTATAAAAATCAGGTTGTGGTTTGCTTTCTCTTTGCTGGTTGGCTTTGTTTTGTTTTGAGTCAGCCTTCAAATAGTTCCACAGTATTTTAAATAACAACAGAAATAATTATAAACACCACAGCCATCTCCAGATCTTCCCCTGTAGCCCAGACACGGCAGCGGTAGCAGCCTACTCAGTCTGTGCCAGCCAGCTGAGTACAAGAAGCATGGATCCTCTGCTCAGAGCACAAGCAAACCAGCCACGCTGATTCCACTAATAAGCAGCAAAACGCACAGCACCACTGCAGAGGGCAGACTCAGGATTTGCTCTTGCTCTTTGACTCCTCCAGCCTACATCTATAACTATAAAAGCACCATAAAACACATTTTCCCAACTGTACCTCTTTCAACATGCCCATACTAGCACTTGTCCATCCACCCATATGCAGTAAGCACAAATCAGCGCTCTTCTAAGAGTGAGCAACTGAGGTAGCTGCAAGGCTGTCGGGCAGACATTCCTGAAGCACTTGCAAGTTGTACTTACAGGTTAGACAAGGAGAACATATCCCTGCCCCAAAGCTCCCTCCCAGCATCACCAGAGGTGTTGAGGAGTGTTTGTATTCCAGCAACATGAAGGGAGAACCAATACTCTTAAGCACCTGGCCACACAAGGGTAGCGACAGGTCTTCAGGTGGCAGTTAGAATAAGATCAGCTATAGCAATTACTGATCACTTGTGTCCTCAGCAGAGTGTAACAGTGCTTTCTTCCCAATGCTCCCTTCTGCAGAAAGCCAAAGCGATGCCACTTCTTCTGAGAATGACCCAGGAGCAAGACCAGAGGGGCAGGAAAACAGCCCTTCCCCATGACAGTGTACAGGGGGTGGGATGTGCAGGAGGAGGGCCATCTTAAACAAGTATTTGCTATTAAATCTGCGGACAAAAGCCAACCTGGAACAGCAAGTGGTCAAATGTCTCTGCAGCAACTCTGTTTAGAGAGCTACATGATGCTTTACAAGGACTGGCACCTCCAAAAGACTTCTGCTCCTATCCCTAATGATTTAGAGCAACACTGCCGTGGTTGTAGTGCTATGAGCCATTCTCAAGATGCCTTAGCTGCAATTTTCCCCTAGGGGAAAAAATGATTTCAGTAATAATAAACACATCAGACTTTCCTGTCCAAGGTACCTTCCTCCTTTGCAAATTTAGATTATTATTTATTCTGTTTCCATAGATTAGAAATGTAGATTATTGGTTTTACTAAGCCTCATCTGTAACTTAGACCTGACCTGGCCAATGGACTGTCCATGTGGCCTCTTGTCAGGGTGGGCAGTGGGGAAGGGACCTGGCCACTCCCTCTGCCTTCAAGCACCACTCACCTGTGCTGCTGCTGCCGCTTAGCATCAGGAAAGGACCAAAGCACAGCTCTGTGTGGATGAGCTCCACCTACAGACCCAGCAGCACCAGCCACAGGCATCTTTTCCTTTGGGTTTTAGCATTTTGAGATATTGTTAAGGGGAGGGGAGAAACATTTTGCTGGTTTGACTGTTGAAATTCAGGCTTAACTTTGCAAACTGTTAGCCGAGATGATCTCTGGTAGGATCTCACACCATTCTCTCTTTTAGGAGACATGTTTTGTGTTAAAGATGGTTTGATAAAACTATGTAAGTTGTTGGAATAAATAACACAGCCTTCAAGTACTGAAGGTGGGTTTTTTCTGCCTGGATGTTTCCTCTTCCTTTGTTTTGCCTTGTAGCTGATTGAGCTGCAGCTCAGGGTGGTTACCTCAGTTTCCCCTCGTAAGGAGATAGAGAGCTGTGTTACAAGCCTCTTCTCTTTGGGTCTGTGAAACCCCATGGGTGTGCAGCACCCAGATGGAAGCAGATGCCATTGGGCACAGAAAATCCTAAAAGTCTGTCCCCACATTCCCAACTTTGCTGCCAGGCAGCGCCTTTCCCATGGGTGTCTCCACATTAGTACTGCAGATAGCCAAGCAAAGGCTGGCTGAGCACTTGGCCAACTGGTCCAGACACCAGCAGAAGAGGTGCCAGTGGGAAGAGGTGTCTTCACCCAATGTTTCACCCAGCTCCAGCAAAGCCAATCCTACCAGAGCTGTGGGATACAGCTATAGCCCGGCTGGGGTCTATGGCCGAACACAGGAACATGGCAGAGCTGGCCTGAGAAATACCTTCCACTGGTGACACAAGGACAAGCATCACCCTGACAGCCTCGGGCGGAACTGAAAGTTACAAGTTTGGGATTTATCAGAGAAAACAAGGCCATAAATAAGCAGTTGCCAGACAGAAGGAGAATTGTCTGTGGGCCTCCACGAAGTGATGGCCACAGGGCCAGCACAGAGCTGTCCATGGCTCCAGCCCCCACAGGAAACAAGGATTTGGCAGCCAGGTAGCAGCTGCATCTGCTGCTTTGGCAGCTGCAAACCAGCTCGGCTGCCGGAGCTGCCTGGATACTATTGCAGCTCTGTGCCCGGATGGCAGCCAAGAGCCTGCTCCCATTTCCCCACACTTGGGGGGCAAAACAGCAGGTAGCTCCTGCGCTTGGCTGACCACACAGTCGGGTCTTTAAGCCCCATTTCCAGCTCTCCTCACTGCCACTGAACAGTATTTCTGGCTCATGCTGACACACACAAAGAAAGCTAAAAGGCGGTGCAGGAGGACTGTGCACCAGGCAAGACCTCCAGCAGTCAAATGTGGGCTAATCTTAGCTCTCCTGGTCAGAAAATATCTGTTCCAGAGTTATATTAGGCAGGTGATTAGCCTGTTGGCCAGCTACCCTCAAAGGACAGGCGAGAGGCATCAGGTTCCCCTTGCAAGTGAAAGAGCCAGCCCTGCTGCCACAGCTGATTGTGCTCCGAGACCAAGAGCACTGGCTTAATCCAGCCACATCCTGACTTGCAATGCTGTTGAGCACACAGATGCTCCCAGCCCTTCATGTCATTGAACACAGGGGCATGCCAGACCCCCCAGAACTGTTACTGAGCACCAAACGATCGTAAAGTCTTTTCTGGCTCTTGGCATCAACTGACACTGTAAAACTTGGGTGACAGGGAATAGAGATTGTAAAGTACTTTTGATACATGCCAGAAAAAGTGAGAGCACCCAGTGATGGCACTGCCGTCATGAAGTGCCACCTATCCCTTTGATCACCAAAAGGAAAAAGGACCCATGGGGTTGGAGCAACCTGCATCCATAAATCCAACTCGCCCATAGTGAGGGAGCAGGCGTACCTTTCCTCTGGCTGTCAAAGTGCTCTGACCTGCCAACAGGAGAAGGCTGGGATCAGGCTGCCAAAGCCCCATCACACCTACTGATTGACTCTCATGCTCTAGCAGGGGTAAACTGGCTCACGTTGTGGACCACAGCTCCTAACATCCACCCCTGAACAGAAAGGCAAGAGAGTTTATCTCTTAATATAAATCTGTTATTTTATTAAACAGGATTAACAACCAACTGTCCAGCATCCACACAAGCCAACTCATCTTCAGAAACAATTTTTGGAGAAAAATTACCAAAAAAGCTTGGTTCTTACTGCAATCGTGTTCTTAAAAGTGATGCTTTATCATTTGCTTTATAAAAGTAATAAAATTCACTCTCTCATATCCATCTAACTATATATGTGTATATATATATGCACCATGTACTTCAGAGATGAGCATTTTACTCAGAAGACAAATATGGAAGCCCAGAAAGAAGTGAAGTACTCCCAGCACGTGGTCACTGCTGGCTGAGACTGGACCAATCTCACACACTGTCCATGGTAATGGTGACCACGGCTCCTTGTCAAAGGCAACTTTTTGGTATGGTATCTTTGGAGTAAGCATCTTGGCAGATAGCTGGGATGCTAAAGCACACCACACGCTCATGTAAGAAAAGGATGGTCTCTTCTCTGGGTGCACAGCTCTATTGCATGGTAAGTAAAAACACTGTAATGCACCAAAATAACTTTGGGATTTTGGTGTATGTCTCTGTATAAATCCTCCACCAAACAGAAGATCTGACTTGTAGCCAGTGTTGTGGTTGAATGAGAGAAGCATTTCAGGTGGGACCCAAGTCAACATGTAACAATGGGCCCTAGCTTATTAATTTACTTACTCAGTTTTAATAGTGCCTAAAGATTGTCAAGTCAGGAAGAGGGCAGAGTGGTTAAAACAAGCAATCAATCAATCAATCAATCAATGAGTCAGTCATGGTTTTCTGAAGCCCTAAAGAAAGATCAAGGAAGAGCGAACTGAGTTCCCAGGAATCCTCCAGGATGAGTACAAAACTGGGAAAAATCCCAGAAGGCAGATTTTGGCCCAAAATGCTAAAAATATGTTCCAACTTCCTATGCATGTGAGCCCATGGTCATGGCCAGCTGTGAGCACACAGCCCAAGGTGTCTGCTTCAACAGCAGTGACAATGGAAGGCCTGAGACACGAGTCCTTTACCAAGAAAGATGCCAAAACCCTGTGGGGTTTTTTAATGCCCTTCAGACCTGTGCATGGGCAGGAGCACCAGTGTCCAGCCTGTTCCTGTTCCAGTCTTGTTAGTACAAGGCTAACCCTGGGTAAATATAGCTGTGGCCAAACCCTCCTGCCCACACAGATGGGAATAAAGCCTCTGTTTCTGAAGTGCCTGCACACTCCCTGTCAGATCTAACACAGTCTTCCTAGAAAGGTGAAGATTAACTCAGGCCACAGGCACAGTTAAAGGTGGTTATTTCTGCACTGCAGACAAGGGCTAGGCAGGTCAGTGGGGCAGGACAGATAAAGCAGGGGGAGAGGAGGGGAAAAAAGCATGGGACATTCTTCTGTTTGCATTTGCAGTAGAGAAACACTGGCAGATGGAGAAGGGTGTCAGGCCAGGAGGCAGTTTCAGTCTGCTTGCCCACCAGCAAGATAGGAAACTGGATATCCACTGGGGAGAGGGTTTATGGGGGTATAGGTAGGTGTATGTGATAGTCTCATTCTGTTTAGCCCTGTAGGGGTTAACACAGGGCTGCCAGGAATAGAGACCAACCCTGGGCACCTTCTCCAGGTGCTCCCACTAGCACTGAGGAGAGTCAAGCACGCATGAGGAAGGGCCACCACTCCATGCTGGCTCGCGGGGATGGGTCATGATGCATTGGGGACCATCCCATAGGCTTCATACAGCTTGTTGAGCAGCTCCTGCTTTTCCTTCTCAGGTAAGAAGCTGGACCGAGCTGCATTGATGTTCTGGGGAGGCAGAGGGGCAACATAAGGGAGACATTAAGATACATCAGATATGAACACATGGTTGTGCATATCCCAACATCTGGCTCTGAGCAGCAACACAAGAGGGAGAGTGTAAAGTTTCCACTCCAAGATTCATTTCCACAGCCTCATTTTACAAGGCAACTGCTCTGGCCCATCACTCGCAACAAATCCCACAGGAACAAGGCAGGTGCAAAGCAAAAGCCTTTAAATACTTGGGAATGTTTAGGATATGTACTTTAGACCTTCTCCTACACTCCCAGCTCCCGTTTGGACAAGATCCTCTGCCAGGGGCCGATGTGCTGCCTCTGGGACACGGCCTGGCTGTGCAATTGAACCTGCTCATCTGACCTGTGCAGGGGTAACCTGGCTTTTGCAAGAGCAGGAGGACACCAGCAGCAGAACAGCTGTGGATCCAGCATCCCAGAGCTGTCCTGGTCCCTCCTTCCAGACCCAGAGAGTGATGTCTGAAGCAGAAAGGGACTCATTTCTCCAGCCAGAGCTGAAAGCAGGACTGATGCATCCTGCACTTCCTAATCTGATAAAGTATCTTGGGAGTGATGTAGGTGGACCTGCTGAGCATGACTGAATGCAAACCAGGAAAGGTTCACTTGGTAACCAGGTAAGTCAAACAGTTATCCTGTCTTTCTAGTTTGGGTGAATACAAAACCGAGGATGTAATCAAGAATGTGTTCCTAGCTCGGTTTTGTATGTTACACATACAAAAACTGCAAACACTTCCATACCTGCTGAATCTCTCTAATTTCAGAGCCAGGCCTTGAAATGAGCTACCTGCAATTCCAAATCCAGAGGAAAAAAAATAGCAACAGGCACGTTCCTTCCTTACTGCAGAGACCTGCTGTGAGGACATTAGTGGACAATTTCCACTGTGACCTGTTCCCCATGAAGCCCAAAGCTTGACTCTTTATCATATAAAGAAACTCAATGGGTGGTGCTGGGCTGCACTGGGACATCAGCAGAGCATCCAGACAAGGCTGACTTACCACTCTCTTGAACTCCTCTTCAGTGAAGCCCATGTAGTCCTTCATTATGCTGTAATCCTTGTAAATATTGGAGTTAAAGATGAGGGGGTCATCCGTGTTTATGGAATAATTAGCACGATCCTTCCTAAACCTGCAATGAAATTGAGTTGAACCGGTGGGTAAAACACTGGACACAGCACTGCCCATGCATTTCTAAGGGTAAAATGCAGTAACAGACCTCATGGTTCTCCCTGTAGCTTGCACTGTTGGACACAAACACAGGGCTTGGCTGGTCTCACCACCCCTCTTGCACTAACCTGCTTCTCTGGTGTAGCAAGGAGCAGGGCATCTCTTACCTAAAGGTTCAGCAACCTCAGCCCTCACCCACCAACCAGGGCTAGTGGCCAGCGTGCAGCATCTCGTGCCCCACAGCAATGAGCAGGGGCAGGAGGGACAAGACAGAGCCCCACATCCCCTCCAATTG